GCAATAACTCCTGTTAATCATCAAGAGGTGGAACTCCATGATACAATTACTGATTTAATAAAGAGTGCTATACATCACGATATTACGATCGAACATGAGTGGGGACTTGATTTTGACGATCCATCAGAACCGCATGACGTACAATTTGTAGATGTGTACGATATTGATGCTGAAGAAGATAATTATGGAAATGAAGTTTGCACTGTGGATGATGAAGGTGGAAATGTAAACTTAAATTATAAGAAAAAGGCAATCGAATTTTGGAAGAGTGGAAAGAAAGGACATTTATCTCTTACTTCTGTACAACATCGTTTTAGAAAAGTAAAGTTTAATTAAAAAATAAGAAGAATAATATATAGTAAAATACTTGAGGCTTTTACGGTGTACAGTGACCGGCAGTGATTCGTTCCGCGACAGAGAGAACTCTATTTCCCCTCTCGCGGAACGCATCATTGTCGGTCATTGTACATACAGCTTTGACTATAAGTATAAAGCATCCCAAAAAATTTATTTAAATTGTGTAACAAAAACATACTATATGAATATATGGAGAACATAATATAGTATACGAGTATATGGAAAAATAATATAATAAAAAAATATAATATAAGAATATGTGGAAAATAATATTTATTTTACAATATTTATTGTAATATAATATAATATTAATATAATATAAATTATAATATAAATATAATATACATAAATATAATATACACATTATGTTATAAAATATTAATATAATATTTATTGTAAAGAGATTATATATTTACTATGAGTATATGCATTGATTTCTAGGAAAATACAATGAGTTAGAGATGCTTTATACTTATGACCAAAGCTGTAAATTATATAGTTAGAGTCGCGTTGTTTTTATTTTAAGTTTTACAATTTGATGTTTCGTGAACATTTAATTCGTATATAACTTCTTTTATTTTTGAATTCGAATTGTTTAATATTGAGATTTGTTTTCTTCTAGGTAAAATCTATTCAACAATTGCACAGATGGCAAGAACATGTAATGCGTGGGGGTTCAAATACAGACAAACTTGTAGTTATTGCTGAATATGTTCTTATAAAATTCCAAGAAGCTGTTAATAGAGGACTTATTATTCATGATATAAATCTGCGAAAATAGGCACTAGAAGCAAAGGAACAAGTGGATTTTTCTTCATTTAAAGCAGGAAATTGGTGGATATGGAATTTTAAAAAGGCACATCGTATTACATCACGTAAAATAACTGCATTTAAAACGCGGTCTTCTCATTTAACTGATCTAACTATACGTCAAAACGCTGAGGAATTTGTAAATACAGTAAAGCCACATATTAATGTAATCGGTGCTGAATCAACTTATAATGCGGACGAAAGTGGCTTTAATTTAGAAATACATGCAGGAAGAACATTAGCTAATGTAGGAGTGAAGACAGTTGGAGCTACTCTCCAATCTTTATCTGCTATGACTCATAGCTACACCATTATGCCTATTATATCTGCAGATGGACATCTCCTTTCGCCTTTGTATATAGTATTAAAAGAATCTACTGGTGTTTTTGGACCACAAGTAGAACAAACTCTTTTTAGACCAGTGAATATTTACATTGCGGCTTCAAAATCAGGGAAATTGACAACTGAACATTTCAAAAATTGGTTCCAAGAAGTGTATCTACCAAACACTGGAGAGAAAAGTATACTACTGCTTGATTCATTGCCCGAACCAATTGGAAGAACTTGTACCAAAAGACAAACATGTAAATATTCTAACAATACCAAAAAAAACAACTGCTTTTATATAGCCATTAGATATTTTTGGTTTCAGAATCTGGAAAAATTTTGTTCGAAGCTTTTCTGATAGTGTTATTATAAATAATTATGACATAAATTTACATTTACGTAATAACATAATAAAATTGCAATCTTTAACACACAATCAACTGTCTTCTCCAAGATTTCGAAATTTATTTAGATTTAGCTGGTATAAAAGTGGTTATTTATCAACACGGCCTGAAAAATTTCATAATCCATTCGATTATTGTTATTTTAAAGAAGAAAAACGTATACCAAAATGTAGCATTTGTGGTAAAATGGCTTTTATACGTTGTGCATGGTGCAAGCAATATTTTTGTTTTGAACATTTCTTTGAGCAATATCATTATTGTAATAATTATATAGAATAAATAATATTTTACTGTCCTCAATTCCTGTAAAATTTGTATATATTATAATCCATACCAAAATATAAGATATCTTTCACTCGAATATCTATATCGACTACTTAATTAATAAAACTTATATACTGAATGAAGCAAAACACATACACACAAATGTACACTGAATAAATTTATAAATTATATTTTTCATTATTAAATCCGTGTGTGTTCTCCTTTTTTCTTCATATCATTCATTTCCTTATTTGTTCTTTACAATTGAATTTAAAAGATTATCTATATTAGGGTTATATACACTCTCTCTGCGTCCTCCTTATCATGCTGTTCTTCTTCAACTTACTTCTTAACATCAACTTTATTCTTTTCTTAGATTACCTGTTTTTATTCCTTCCTTACCTTTTACAGTCAGTAATTATGAGGGAGAAAGAAATGCCATCATCAAGCAGCGAACCCATAAGTTTGGTACGCGTAGCATATATATAAGAGCATTTTTAATTTTTTTTTCAATATTGCCTTTTCCAAACATAATGTTATTATATATGGTTGAATTTGTCATAAAATAAGCTTTATTTTGGTTGGACAATTGATTTTAACAATTTGAAAAAAGAGAAGGAGGGGGGGGTATTTTATACACAATTTTACATTTTTAAAAAATCTAAATATAGCATAATAAAATACTTTTAAAACCATAAAACTTTTGTCTAAAACATTTTTTCATATCTTTAATAGTTTCGATAATATTCGCTTAGAAAGACAAAAATTAACTTTGTTCAAGGGGTTGTTTCCACCCTTAAAGCCGTTTTTGGGCACCAACGAAAAATTGTTTTGTTATTAGGTATATCTGCTCTACAATTATGCAGAGTTTCAGATTTTTTTGAATTTCCGCGTTGCCGAATGTCCCTTGTGAGTCGCATCGAGCTCCTGCAGCGTAAGCGGTCCCCCGGCGGTACGATATTCGTCAGGAATGCCCTCCGGCAGTCGGTCGTCGTTGGCCGCCCACTTCTTCAAAGGGAAGCCACCCGCGCGGCAGATTCCCTCCAATTGGTCTCGCACCAGCATAGCCTCCATCCTGGAGGATGCCTCGGTCAGGATGTCGTCTACGTAAACATCCTTACGCAGAACGGACGCACCCAGCGGAAAGCGGTCTCCCTCGTCAACGGCCAGCTGCTGAAGAGTGCGGACCGCGAGAAAAGGCGCGGACGCGAGGCCATACGTCACCATATTGAGGCGGAACTCTCGCAGGCCGCTCGTCGATCGCCACAGGATGCACTGCAAGTCGCGGTCGTCCGGATGCACCAAAATCTGGCGATACATCTTCTCCACGTCGGCCGCGAACACGAACCGATGTCAGCGTCACGCAAGCAAAATGTCCGCGAGCCGCGGGAGCAGATTCGGGCCGATCATGAGCGTGCCATTTAACGAGTGTCCGTCGCGAGTGTGCTGAGACCCTGTTAAACACGACGCGTAGTTTGTTTGTCGCCTTGCGTAAAACTCCGTGGTGAGGCAGGTAGCACACAGTCGATCCTCAGCCACGCGCTCGTTTGATGAGATGACCGAGACATGTGCCCGAGCGTCTCGAACTCCCGCATGAATCCCACATACGAGACGTGTGTCGGACAAATTCGGCAGCGCTGACGCGAGAGGCAAGCGCACGATGTACCTTCCGTCAGACTGTCGAGAGTGTGTGTCCCTGAAGTGGTCCAGGCATTTCGACTCCTCGATCGTGAGAAAGACGTTGGACCATGAGGAGCTTCCTCCTGCTCCCAGAAACGGCGCATGACCGCCGACAACTCCTCGTCCATGGAGCTCTGCAAGGCAGACACCGAGGAGCAGGGCGCCTCGCCGGAGCTCTCACCCAGCCCAGCAGCGTCCGGAGCGCGATGGGCTCGCCTGGCTCGCCCTTCTGCACACCATCCTGCACCAGAAAGGAGAATGCCTCCGCTCTCAGAATGAGGTCCACCGTGCCCTGCCTCAAGAAGTCCGGATCCGCCAGATCAAGGTTGCGGAGCCAAGACCGCCCGGAGACACTGTATCTCTGCCCGTAAGAGGTGAGCCTTGGCAGGATGTACGCCTCGACCGTCATCACGGGCGCCCCTCCCCCCGCGAGTGAGCAAGGTCACGTCGATGCTTCCGCGCGCCGCTCCGGAACGCACGCCTCCAATACCGACTATGTTGAGAGATGCGGGCCTCCGCGGCAGTCGCAGACACTGAGCGAGGGCCTCGCTCACCAAGGAGGTTTCGCAGCCTGAGTCGAGAAGCACACGAGCAAGTTGATGGGCTCCGAGATGATCCACCACTTTAACACGCGCGGTAGCAAGCAACCGCCCGTCAAGCTCCCGGAGCGGACCCCGCGCGACGTGAACCGTTGCACTGGACCCTCCCTCGACGCATCCCGCTCTCGCTGGGCGGCATGCCTCGTGCAGCGAACTGTGGTGACGCTCCGAGCAATGCACGCACGTTTTGGCAGAAGTGCACGAGTTGAGAACGTGTCGGCCTAAGCAATTCAGGCACAGGCCGTACTTGCCACGACATCTCTACGCTCCGAGGCCGATCGCGATTTGTATCTTTCACAAAATAGCACGTAGTGTTGTTTTGGACACACAGGGAACAGCGCCCGCGAACCGACTCCTGGGGTTTCGCGTGAAGCACCCGCGCCCTCCTGTCTCGCAGATCCGTGCTCGGACCTGCCGGCAGACAGCGCCTCCAGAGCTCGCATCTTGCGCTCCATAAACTTGAAGAGCTCATCGTATGCAGGTGGAGTCGAAGAACCCCCGACATGGTTCTCCCACTCGCGTCGAGTTCGGCCATCCAGAAGCTCCACCACCAGGTGGATCAAGAGGTCGGTGCACAGCTGCAGATCGGCCGTCTGACTCCCTCCAACGAACCAACGGTGCTCAACATCCCGTGAAAAATTCTCCGCAAGTCTGCAACGGAGTCGGACTTCATCTTCGGAATGGCGAGGAATGAGTTGAAGAACGCAGACACAAGCACGCGAGTATTCTCGTAATGACGAGTCAGCACAGCCCATGCTCGATTGAAGTTGTCACTCGTGATAGCCAGATTCTTAATCAGCTGCTCCGCATCACCTCTCACGCACGTTTTGAGATAATGCAGCTTCTCGACATCACTCACAGCTCCATTCGACACTACCACGGAGTGAAACAGATCTCTGAACGCTGGCCAGTCCGGATACTTGTCAGAGAATTGTGGCATTTGTATCCGCGGCAACGATGAGCGAGAGTTCTGACTCTCGGACAAGCTCGGAGCGACGTCCGATTCCGACTTCTTCGGCGCCTGCGACTGCAGCATATCGAGCAGCAGAGCTCGCTGCTGCAAGTAGGTATCCTCCACCTGCCCGAGGACATTCGATCTGGAGTAATCGTGAGCCTGGAGCTCGGCATGGTACCGATTACGCAGTTGGTCGTACTGGTCCTCGAACTCCTCCCACTTCTTGTCGAGAAGGCTAAGCGTCGTCTGCATCAAAGACTTCGTAAGTCTAGCGGCTCCAACCTTACGGAGATTATCATGGGTGCGAGCAATGCGCCCACTCAATTCAGCTTGCGCGGTGATCAACGCCTCCATCGTTGCCCGAGGTTAACACTGTGCACGCAGTGGCTGACCCCCGCACTCGCTACCTTTAGAAGAATGCCGGCGCGCAAGCAACGCGAAGAAAATCCGGCTCGAAGGACCAACTATGTTGCGAATGAGGGTCAAAAGAGGAGAATCACTCGGACGCGAATAAACTCACGGGACAAACGTTTATTGTAACAATGAGGAGGAACGCTAACAATGAAATAAAGCGCCATGGATCGACAACATCACTGTTCGCGGAAACGCACGCGATGGTGAGAACGAGACGTTCGCAGAAATTCGTCTGGCTAAGCTTGCGGAGAGGAACGTTCCTCTACGAAAAACCCGAGCAGTCAGTCGGTTAGCACGTGCACATCGAACACATGGGTGCTGGCTATTCGGCCACGTTGTCGATACCGTTGCGAAATTTCACGTCACGATCAGCTGTGTGTACAAAGAAAAGTAGAGCATTGTTGCATCGAGGACAAACGCCGAGTTTGACTACATATGAGATTCACGTGCACGCGAGGTAAACATAAGGGGGAATATACAGTCAGAGGCGCGAAAAAAGGAGGTTTTTCAAGAATTTTTTTAAACTAAATGACTATACTTATTTATTCAAAAACTTTTCTATAATGTTAAGCTATGTTTGAAGAACATTTTATAATTTTTTTAGCCAATAATAATAGTAATATAAGTTTTAGCGATGACGTAAATGCGAATCGTAAAAAAAAAGATGCATTCTCGTGGACATCATATCTTGGGCAGGATTATCTGAAACAAAAAAAAGCAAAAAGATTTCGTTTGTATAGGACTTTGTCTTCCGGGTGAACGAAGCATTTTGAAAAAATTTGAATTTTGAATTTTTTAGAGTACTTTGAAGTTAAGGTCACGATTTTCGCTTAAAAAATTGACCGTATTATGTTTATAAAACGAGTTCTAATTATTGAAAACAAAAATCCTTCGTTCACCCGGAAGCTTAACATGTATAAAATAAGTGTGCACAATTTGAAAATGATCGGTGCATTAGATTTTGAGATATCGTGTCCACCAACTTTGAAAATGTGGTTTTGAGAAAAACGCGTTTAAAGTTTTCAGTATGAATAAAACCTCCATAACAATTTTTTTTTTCAACTTACACAGAATCGTCTATTCCAGGACCATAAAATAAGTCCTCGACGCCTTCCAGAATGTCCAATTGTTCAGAATTTTTCTGTCTTTGCAGGATTCTTGCCTCCCGCGTAGCGAGTTTCGCTCTGTACTCGGCGACGTTAATTCGTTTTTCGTCCAATTTTCGGCAATAATCGACAGAATTACGTCCTAATTTCACTCCCATTGAATAAAGAATAGCTAGATGACTCGATGATCCTTCGTTAAAAACACACGCTGAAATTTTAGCAGCAATATCTACTTTTGTAGAGCCACTTGGAACAATTTTTGGCGTAATTTTCCAGATCAACTGATTATAGCTCTCATTGTTGTTTTGGTTGAAGCCGCCAATACATCTTTTTAGTAAGGTATCCGAGCTCAAATCTTCGTAAACAGGTCGAATTGCTTGCAATATGTCATTACTAAAATTGTCATATGAGTGCACGAACGATTGAAGCTTGTCCATGGCTGCAGCACGCTGCCACTCACACCAAGAATCTTCGCCAACTGGACACATATCGTGTTGAGGATTTTCATTTGTAGAAGCGTAGTGGTAAAATGTGGCCCAAATACCTTCTTTCATGTCCTCAATATTCTCACAATTACGTCGAATTGCTAGTCCGTAATAAACCGTGAGCTTGTCTATCGTTTTTCCGGTTAATTTGCCTTTTCTTCCCAAAACTTTTCTTTTTATTCTCTTCTTATTTTTCGTTTCAACTTCAACGACAGTGTTATTGACGAGATTACGGAGGCGAGCTCCCATTCTTTTTTGGACATGCCCAACACATTCTTTCTTGAAAATTTCAAAATCATTGCCATAATCAACTTTTTGTAATATTCCAGTAAATGTTTTCGAGTCTCCGTCTCCGATATAATAACGATATTTTACACCGTATTTTTCCTCAGAACGGTTAAACATTTCTATTACCGCATCCACTTCCATTTTGCCAGAGGAACCTGTATGATTTGCGGAGCAATTTTCCTTATGTGTTTCGTACCATTCTTTGTATTCATTCTCTTTGACATTCATTTTTTTACTCCAAACTTCACACATTTTACAGTAGATACTTTTTACGCATACATCAATAATTTTACTACTATAATAACCAATTAATGATGCTACACCAAACAATGAATTAAAACCACGCTTTTGCCACATTCCGTCTTCCGATACAGTTAGTTCATTTGTATAATCTAAATTGTATTTCTTACATGTTTCTTTTTTTCTTCTTCTACAGTATTTGAAAAAATTTTCTCAGCAACGGTATTCACACACTCTTTCATATTTTTAACCATAATATCGTAAGTTGTTTGATTTAAAAATGGTCCATTAAACCGCAAAACTTTTTACACCCTTCTAATCCTAGTCCTAAAATTCTCATCACGTAAATAAATCTGCGATTTATTTCATAAGTATGGCCGATAAAAGGGCAAGAGGATATGTAATTGGGCTGACACGTGTTACACATTACAGCAATTTTGAATCCAAGGCCACGATCACTGCACGTTTGAAATTGTACATCACCATTGCATATCTTGCACTTTACTACATTCGAAACGGCCGAAAAAACTGTAAAAAAATTCAGAATTCTGTATTCTACAGTATTGTCTGTTGGCACATGCATGTCCTCGAGATACTTTATTTTTTTTGCAGATGTACTGAAACTTAATGGGTCAGTTTCGGCCGTTTTTGGATTAAAACTCTGCCTCCGTTTTTTAAACCTGTCTTTTCGAGCTGCACTATTTTGCCGGATATTTCTGTTCACTTTACGATCTTCCATAGTAGAAAACGGCACGAAAATCTTTTCCACAGGCGCACAACAAGCGTACAGTTCAAGGACTGATGCGAGACTAACGGTTCTACCGGTCTTGAAAACAAACGTATTTATACCTGCGCCCTACGTGCCGCTCGTGCTTCAACAGGTCGGACGGACGGGTCTTCTAGACGCTCTCACTCACTCAGTTTTGCTCGGATCAACTTGAAATTTTGACACAACATTCCTGAGATGTTGTACTTTCATATAAAAAAAATAAAAAAAAACCATTTTTTCAAATTTCTGACTGTATATTCCCCCAATACTCGCAAAGTCGCTCTCCCGTTAGATCACTGAATTCAGCGATCAGCGAAAAATGCTGCGAGCGCGAATCGCCGAAAATATGTCGATGCGCTCCGACTGGAGCTTGATCGGAACAATATATATATACATATATATATATATATATAAAACTACTACATCTTCGTTGTTCGTGTGTAACGCTAAAAGTAGTTTCTCGGAAAAATTCAACGCTATCTATCACGAATGAAAAAAATTGTTTCAATAAAAATTTCACGTACAATCTAATTCAATGCAATGAAAAATGTGGGTCCCCATTTGAGATTTGAACGTTACCACCCACCCTACCCCGAGAGGATGGGGGGGGGGAATAACTTTTATTATGTTCTTTAATAAAAATATTGAACAGGTATTTTTTATTTCTCAATCCAATGATCATTTCTGGAGAATTGCGGAAAATATAATTTTTTGCGATTACAGCGCCATCTATCACGAATCAAAAAAAAGGTTTCGGACAAAATTTACGTATTTTGTGGCGTAGAATCCGTATCTGCAATAAGAAATGGGGGTTTCCATTTAAGATTTCAAAGTTGCCCCCAACCCCCACCCCCAGGGGGTGAGGTGGGAGGTCGAGTTTGGTATCATTGGATGTCCCCCTTCGAGACTAACAACTTTCATTAACCACTTTTTTTCATCCAATGCATATTTCTCGAGATATTTCAATGTCTTCAGATAAATCGTCCACCCTGTATATATATATAATTCAATCTCCTAATAATACGTATATAGAAATACTTTTCAATTATATTTGAAATAATTAAAATTAACAACAAGAGGAGGTACGTTTTAAATCACAGAAAGGTAAAAATGCTGCGAAACATCGCTGAGAAGCTGCACATGGCGCGGTGCGCTGCGGAAAAAATTGGTGTTTCTGGGATTTCGAAACACCCGCGATGACACTCTTAAATTGTCTGACGTATCGAGAGCAGAAAAATAAAAGGAGCGAAAGGCTGTCTCATGGAATTGGCAAATATGTCCACAGTTTCTCCCGCTCGCTTGCCGCAGCGTCGCAAACGCCGGAATACACCCGGTCGTAATTGAAGTTTCGCAATAAGGCACCCCCCCTCTGCTCGAGGAAGAGAAATTTTTTCAGCGGATTACCGCCAGAGGATTAACACATTCGTTCCCATCCGCTTTTATTGATATAAACAATACGCGGCACGTGTGGGAGCGAACGTGTCGGGAGATCAATTGACAATCAAGAGACACGGTGGTGTCTCGCGCCAAGTACACGCGAGAACGAAGCGAACGTGGGGAAAGAGCATTTGTTATCTCGAACGACGCTTCGTCAAAAGTACGACTACCAGTCCTCTTTCGCTGCGAGGGAATTATTCAATGTTCCGATCACGCGGAAACAACGCTCGAACAAAGCTGGAGCGCCGCCAAGAAATCGCGATTGCACGCGATAGGAGGCCGAGCAGCGTGCACGTGCAGCCTCTGCTTCAATTAATCCGAATGTGAGTGCAGCCCGGACCTAAATATCTGGCGCAAACTACTTTTTCGTTGTCGTTGTCGTTGTTACTGCGCCGCGGAAGCAGGCCTTACGCCACGTACGCGTATCGTTCGTGCCTCGACAATCATCCAAAACGCGTGTCCCTGCGACCGATAATATCGCCGATTATCCTTACATTAGCGCGACGCGACGCGTCGCTCTCGGCGCGCTAATTTACTATTCGTACCTTTGATTCGAAATCGAATACGCGAGTCGCGTTTACAGTCAAACTATGCCGCTGGAAACTATCTCTCTCG